ATTTTTATGCCCTCAACATTTCAACAATAACCGTCTTTGACATGCTGCCAACAAGTCATGCCTCTTATTAGGGGGCAATGAAGGTATAGAACTGACGCAAGGCGCAACAAAGCCCAACTATGTACATATTTGAACTGAATTTTGGGAAGTTTCGACTATACCCTGTAAACTCCAAAGCGCCAAGCTTGCCCTTAGATTACTTTCAGGCATCTATTTTTATTGTTTAGTTTTTATAATCTTCCGATGGTAAATATCGGAATAAAACTATGTGCTGTGATTATATTCTGTACTCTAGAAGAAAGTGATAATAAACTAAAATGTTACGTGGGTTGAATTTTAAGCGATAGTTTTAAGGAAAAGCCATTGTAATTAAGTTTTATTTATGTAGGTACAAATTTTTAGCTTGACTAAATAGAAAATCCTAGTTAGCGTCTTGTTGGTAAAGATTAGATTTTTTATATGGTTTCCTTTTTCAGATATCTGTTTTTATCGTACTGTTTTTCTTACTCCGTATTTTAATTTAGTAACTCTGAATATCAGCATCGTTATACTGTTATGAAGTAATTCAGTTATTAAATTTGTTTTTTCTTGACATTCCAATCATCTTGCCTCTACTTAGTACCTCATTTACTATACTGGTTTTTCTTTTTAGATACAGTGGCGTGGCGTGCTTTGAGATACATCGATTACTCTGCCATTTAAACCTATAGGAAAGGATCGATAGATAAAGTGTTCACAACGATCACCTTAATAATCGATTCTATGTCATGGCTTCGAATATGAGGCTATATTGATCATTGATCATTGATCATTCACGTCTCGCCACTATCCACCAGCGATGACCCCTCTTTGATGCAGTTTTGATTGTTTTACTCATTTTTTCTGTTATTTGCACTGATCAAAAGCGCTGGTATAGTGGGCACAATGGGCCACAATTTCTGTTCAATATTCTTGAATTTCAAGGTTTCTCTCAAAGGGGCGATTTTTCGCATGTTGAGGGGGGGGGTGCCACCCCCTTAGATTCATCCTATTAGACCAAAAGTTTGCAAAGCTCTGCTTTTGCATTAAGAACGGATATTCCAATCACACAAATAGTTCCAAAATTGCCCGAAAGTGGAATTGCAAATTTTATTTGTCTAAAAAAGGGGGGTGCGCACCCTCGAAAAATTGACGGATCGGCACGAAATTATTCTCAGCTCTTGGTTTGTCACGTAACCTATTTACTGGGAGCAAAAACCCGAGACAGGGACGGTTTTTTTCCGGTATCACTCGACTAAGCTCGTACTCAGACAGGCAATGACGCAATGGCTATAGCATCCTCATACTTTAAACACTTATCAGAATCCCAGAGCAGATCCTCGAGTCTGACTTTTGCCGGGACGTGATTTGATGTCCACTGTAACTATCGATTAAAGTATCTCCTCACACCACGAAGTAATGGCCTCTTGTCATCATGAATAAATCGTCGAGCGCCTCATCCGTGATAATATTTTAAAATAAAAAAATGTGTTCCTAGCAATCGGCGGTATTTTGTTGAAGGAAGAAAATACAACAATTGTGCAATGGAAATAGATTCGTGTAAAAAATCTGGCAAATAGAACAAATCTCATTTAAATTTAATTGATTCATCGATCGCTAAAATGTTCTCAATATTCTGCTTATTATTTGTCGTTGGTGCAAACTCACAATCAGCTGAATTGGATTGGTGGAGAACTAGTGTCATATACCAAATTTTTCCGTGGTCGTTCAAAGATTCCAATGGAGTCGACATTGGTGATTTAAATGGTAACTATCTAACTAAAATAACACGTGAAAACCTTGAAAGTTTTGGGGAATTTTCGTCGGAAATTATCTGATCATATGTATATCATGGAAAGTCCGAGTTACGATGGTAGAAAATCCTTTCTGATTAATAATAATAATTTTTAACACAGGTATTCTCTAAAAAATGTAAGATACGCCTTGTCCGAAATTCGTTGGAGCACTTCCAAATAAATCTTAAAAAAGGACGGAAAAAGAGAAAAGAAAAAGAAGCAGGGACTCCAACACAGTGCATTGATTCATGTATAAAAATTATTAATAACTAGGAGACCGGGTTAATATCCCTGTGCTAACCAAGGAATTGATAAGAGTCTGGCTACTTGCATATCATATTATCCTAGTTGTTATTTGAAAGGAATTTCTATTACTACAAGCATGATGCTTGTTTACTTTTAGAATAAAAATTATCACAGTGAAACCTGTTCAAAACAGAATCTAACGGTCCGAAGAAATTTTTTCGTTAACATCAAGTTTCCGCTATGGGCAGGTTTACCGGACGTACGAAACGTGGAAAATTAAAAACAAGAAAACTTTAAAATTTCAATTAAACAGGCAACTGATTCTTATCTTAATCATGCGTAATTTTTTGCGGAGTAGATCATGATGGTTCATTTACGTTTAAGAAAAACATACTAAAATTATTACGCGATAAAACGTAACGAGTGGTCCGTATATGATGCTCCGTCCAAGTACCGTTTTTTGCGATATGTTTTTATACGTAAGCCGACTATTTTACCTCATAGTTCAATGCAGTCTTAGTTTTGTTATTTTTATTATTTTGTTCCCTGCATGATGAAAATACATTACCTTGTTTGCGATATGTGTTTATGTTTTTTTACATAACTGGACCATTTTTACTCATAATGGGCCTGTTGCAAACTTTTGCTAGAGCAAAAATAAGAGTTGTTTCTTGTAGATAATGCCTCAAAAATCACGATGAGCGCATCGGCAAAGTCTGAAATGCACTCATAACTTCACAATCTGCGT